CATAATTGCATATATGTCACATATGGATAGGAAACCAAGCAAAGTTATGACTGATATGCGATTATGGGCAACTAACTGCTGACTTGCTTTTTCGTTCCTGCACGAGCTAATGCCTACTCTCAACTTATTGAAGCACTTTCTCAGTTATTAATCATCAATGCGTGAGTTTGTCAATTGTGTGACAAACACAATGATACTTTATGCCCTGGGAAATCGAGAAAATTTCTAATGTCTAGAACGGATCGAGAATCGAACCCGTTACTGAAAAACATAAATACGTTTGATAGATCATCAGTTTAATCTGTGCAGTCTGAGAGGTTGTTAAATTTAAATTGTATTCTACATCCATCAATTTAAAAAATAAGAAGCAAACGCAAGATTCAGGAAAATAAATAGATATTTTAGAGAATTCCACCCAAATGCAACCGAACTATAAAAACGAACTGAATCGTATGAAAAGGTCTGCTGCACCCTCCAATATGACAAAGTTGCGGCTTGAGTCCAGTTTCATGCCTAGGACCAGGACACATTTAGTTCAATCATAAATTTAATCATCCGGCAAGCGAATAATGCATTCCAAAGAGCAACAGCAATTAATATAAATCTTTAAGAAAAACATTTCCCTGACGGTTATTTTATGCTTTTTGGTTATGTCCTCTGCAGCAACGATGATGAACTTGGTTTCTGTGCAAAACCACACACCAGACTATCCGGTTTGCCAAAGTTGGGCTTGTATCAAGGCTCTGATTCTCACACCAGCCAGCGGCAGCGGGCGTCGAGATAGAGCAAATGAACAAGGAGAGCAAGATACGGAATATATACAGCGTAGGTTGTGGGGAAATTTGTACACCTGAATAAATAGAGTTTATTATCTTTTCTTCCGCTGCACAAGATTAACTAACTAACTAACTAACTAACTAGCTGGCAGCCTGACTCGGTTGGCTGGCAGAGGCAAAGACCGAGACAAGCTTTTGAGAATGGCCCTTTGTGGGCGCACAGCTTGTGGGTGAGCTTCCGGAAAAGGCACATTCAACGGTGAGAAGGGAAATCTCTGCGGCGCACAAGTGGAATGAAAACAGTTACACTTGCGAAGGACCGACGACTTGCTGGATCGTGCTCGGGTAAGCTCTAAGCTGCTTCCCAGCACTTATATGGCAGGTTGCAAAACTATATCCCCGAGAGCTTGAAAAGTATTTTACCCCTCTACACATCAAGAAGTTTCATCGAATGGAGAAATGATGATTCTGTGGCTGGTGGGAGAAAATGCGATAAAGCTTGTATTCACCAACTATTTAGAATTAAATTACGGTTGCTGGAAATGTGCGTATTTGTCACATCGCACATTTCAAGCGTAACTATTCAAATCAACGAATCTGATTTTGTAAATAATCACTACAATCAACCAATTGTGGCAACTGCTAGCTCACTAGCACAACCTTACAACCCAGGCTGGTAGGGGAAAGATTCATGTTGGTGGTGGTAATTTGCGTGGGACGTCGATTGAAGTAATTGTTTTCTAAATCAGATACGTCGAATTCAAAAGTGACGTTTTCCGAAATTATTCGATGGGCACTAGGTCAAATTGATAGATAGAGCAGAAATGTTGTGAACATTACATGAGAATGTTTTCATCAGTATTTTATAGTAAGGCGTGTTTGTTTTACATTTTTTTAACCCTGCGAGATTTCTAACTTCAATACAGCGTTTTAAAAGATCTCAGAAAGAAAATCATGGCTCTTGGACTGACACTTTGTAACATTGAATGATTATGAGAATTGTGGAGGAATTCTAGGGATAATTTTCAAGCTATTCTGGGGAGAGTAACCAATGGACTGTGACTAGAAATTGCAGGTCATTTTGAGAAGTATTTCAAGAAAATTTTAAGGAAAACTAAAAAATAAATAAAACAAATGGTTTGAGGATCCCATTAATCAATTCTCGAAAAATCAGTATTACTCATTTTGGTTTTAACACGGTTCCATTTTGGCATGCTTCGCACACGGCACAGTTTGGCATGGTTTAATTTTTGGTACAATTTTAAAAAATTGCAAGGTATACAATGTTTTACTATTATCGGGAACACAGTTTTTACTAACAGATTAATTACACAGTGTTACACATAAAAATAGAATGAACTTTTCAGGTAGGCTGTTGGTCTAGTAGAGTATACCATGAGATCACATTTGAAATTGTTCGAACACCCCCAAAATTTAAAGTCATTGTTAAAAAATCGATTTTGGGTAAGTGACTGCATGCTATCCTGAGTAACTCAATCAGTTTTTAAATTTTTAATTTTTATACGATTTTGGAAAGCAAGAAGTCAAAGCTTTCAAAATATATACACATTTTTGAGGGTAATACTGAAATTCTTTGAGATTTTTCTAATTAAATATGATTTTAATGCAAACAAATCGCATCTTTCTAACTTTAGACGCCATTAGGGTGACCAAAACATAACCCTCCCCCTCGCCATAATACCACTAGTTCTCTATACAATCCTGAGGTTTGTTCAAAATTTGAGCTCTATTAGCCAACATTTACCTATTAGAAACTATTTTTTTCGAGTTTATGTTTAAAATGTGTAAAAATACAACATTTCCAAAGTTTTGTCGCTAGGTGACGTTGCAAACGTCCCAAACATCACCAAACCCAAAACCGTCTAAAATAAGAAAAATGCGATGTGTTTGCATAAAAACCATATTTAATTAAAAAAAATCACAAAGAATTTCAGTAAAATAACCATAAATGTGCCTATATTTCGAATGATCTTTTTTTTTTTTGTTTCCCCAAACTGTATAAAAATAATAAATTAGATAAAAAATTCATGAGTGACTCATGATAGTATGCGGTTAATACCTAAAATCATTTTTTTCGGAATTTATTTTATAGCTTGTTCTTCTTGTCATGAAAATTTGTGCCATTGAAATCAAATCAAAATAGGCGGAGCGAAATAGCCTGTTTTACTTTGAGCGTGTACCCGAGCAAAGTACAGCATCAAAATGACAGCAAATTGAAATCAAGTTTTGATATCAACATCAAACTGAAATCAGAATTTGATTTCAGTTTACGCAATTGACAAATTTGATAACTAATTTTATTTTCATTTTGCTGTACATTTGCTCTTCAGAAATATGTTGTTGCGGGTTTGTTTTCATTGCCTTAGCATAACATTAAATTGAATACTTGTTTTACTATCAACAGGAAAAATGGATATCAAATTAAGTTTTTAGTTTGCTCTCACTGATAGCAGAAATAGTTTTCAATGTGATGTCACAGGAAGATTTGTTTGCTCTAAATTGTGTTAACCGTTAAAACGACCAAAACGACAGCAACCCGAGTAATCATAATCAGCGAAATCACAACATCAAATTAAGATTTCAATTTGATCTCAGACTTTGCTCGGGTAGTGTATGTTTGAGATTGTCCAGTGTGCAGTGAGAAAATGTACTTTTCTTTTCTGCCACTAATTATGTTGACAAAAACTTGATTAATGATTTCAATATTGATTTGTGTATATTCCATGAATGAATTAAAAAAAAACGATGTCCCAATGAATAAGATAGCTGTAAGCGTGGTAAGCGTGGCTGCTTTCTAACACCCCGATGGGTCTGGGTTCAATCCCTAGCCGAGGTCGGTGGGATTTTTCTGAGGCATAAAAATCTCTGGTCACGTCTTCCTTCGAAAGGGAAATAAAGCCGTTGGTCCCGGCCCATGTGTGTTGAATGGGTGCGATATCCTACGCAGGTGTGGAAGCTGCCTTCCTGCTGCACATTCGATTGCCGTCAATGGATGGCAATCGATGTCCGTCGGTGATTGGCACTAGATTGCGGAACAGAGACCGACGATTAATAAAGGAAATAAGAAGAAGAATAATGTGTGTGTCAAAAGAAAGAGCTTCGTTTTCTGAGCACAGCAATATTTTTTTCGAACCCACACACTTTCATCTCGATTTTTAAATCAAGATTTAAAGCATAATAATAACTTTACTGTTTGACACTAAAGTGACAAACTGACAGCTCGCTCACATACAAAGTGACACCGAGGGGCGCTAATAAGTTGATTTTTGCAAATGGAATCGTTCTTATTTAAAATAATACCAGTGTACCAAAATTGATGAAATTTTGGGTTTCGGTTCCATTTTTAATGCAGATTTCGAATATGCATTTACCTCAATACCCTTAAAGAACCCAATTCAGTTCGGTTGCCAACAAAGTACACGGAGTAACAGAATGAAACAATAATGATTTAAGTTTAATCATTTTCGAGAAAAACGGGACAACTCAGAATGAAGAAGAAATTGTTACAATTTTTGGGTAGTTTTGAATCATTAATGATTAATAAATCAAAATGTATCATTCTGTTTCTCCGTGTAAATAAAATGTGACGGCAAGGAGCAATGAGCACAGGAAGGAGGAAATACAAACCTTCAAATTTTGTTGTATCCGTAAATATTGGAGACGCAAATAGTGACGTCATTGTAATCCAGCTAATAACATAGGGAGCGATGCTGATGTTGATGTTAAGTTCGATAAATTTACGTGTGAGTAAATCGTTTTTTCGATGGAAATACATTTAAAAAAATGAAAACCTATTTTCTTAGAAGATCGAAAGACAAAATCGATTTTTCGATCTTTTTGTGGACAAAGAATCGATTCAAAAAACCGAAAATAGGGATGATAAAGATCGATCTTCCAAATATCGATCCAAGATCGCCCAATCCTAGATTAGATCCAAATCGACTTCGGTCATTTGTGACCGATTCTAGTCGAAAATGTACTCCGGAATTGCCGATAACGGATGCACAATTTGAAAACCGAACATAGTTTCCCTTAAAAAAATGTTCTAATTCGCATTTTTTTTTATTCATCTTATGATTAATGTAGTTCTTTCGTGTATCTTTAAATTAAAAAAATATTATCATCCTTTTTGGTAAAAACAGAATAAATTACACAGATTGACAAATGCTTCATGTTAAGAATAGCTTTCCGGTTGGTACTTACCTCACCAATTCCAACTTGAATCCGCTCGCTCTATTAAACTCCATGAAGAAACGAATTGCCCACAGCAAATACGAATCATCGTGACCTCCACTGATTTCCTGGCCATGAGTATGCCGCTCTAAAATTTTGCGAACTTGCCGAACTAAATTGTTGTAGGACGACCGCAAAACTTCGATACAATATTCACGCAAAAACAACCGCACCGAAAAAGCACTTTGCCTTTCTACAGTTCCCGTTTCTTGTACATTGCGAAAGTTTTTCTTCACCCTTTGTTTGTCTGTATCGAATTCCATTTGCAGGGCCTTTTGCAGAGACTGATGACAGATTAGATCATTGTCCGAAATCGATTTCACATTCTGCATCACATAGGTACCGCCGAATCGCGAATGACGAGCAGCTGGAACGCGACTCAACTGCTTAGCTTTCTCCCGTTTTCTAGCCGTTATGAGTTCCAATTCATCGCGGTGCTTTTCGGAGGCACTTCGTTGTAACGATGCATCTGCCAGGCTAGTTGCCGATTGCTCTCGATAAATGAGACAGATTATTTCAAGAGCATGCAGATGATACTGATGCTCGTGGTCGGAGCCCAGAATGTACAAAATCAGATCTAGTACACCCGCCTGTTGCAACGCCCATAGAACCTGATCGTGCAAACTTGCATCATTATCGAATCGCTTTTCCAAATCAATGTTGGACGGAACATGAAGCACGTTACGAGTAAGTGTGAGTAATCGCTCGATGATTAGCTCTTGTTCTTCCATTCGTTCGGCCCAGTCCTTAAATTTAACATAAAGAAACGATATTAATTAATGAAAATAAAAACTAAATATGGCTCACAGAACATACCACTTGCAGAACCTTCTGAAGTCGATCCCCTAGGGCAGCCCAAGCTTGCTGCACACCGAACGCTTCTTTGTAACCTTGAAGTATTTCCACAAGATGTAAAAAGTGTCGCCGGCCAACAGCATCTTTCGGCTGATGACCCTGATAAAGCAACAGAGTTGGGTAGGTCAGGTTCACGATTAATCGTAGCAAAACATCGGCCACGTCTGGATTATCGAAATTACTCGTCAGCATCGGTATCAGATCGGTTTGCATTACTTTCTTCTGACCAATGTACCGCCGGTACTCGTGATCGTCACTGTCCCGCTTCAGAATCCAGATTAGATGCTTCAGTCCCATAATCGCATCTGGTTCCATATGATACTTGCACCCATCGTCCCACCCGAGGGACGAACAGGTTGCATCGATATCCGCCAACAGAATCGACATGGTTCAAATGTTTCCGACACTACACAGACAATATTTAATTGAGGATTATCGCACAAAACGTAAATTACATGAAAAGCACAACGGAACCGAAATACAACTGCGGCACCGATCAAAAAAAAATCCCACAACAATCCGCAATCAAACTCGCGAAACTGTTCACTATTTCGAGGATCACAATATTTCGCGCGCAAACAACTTTGTTTTGATAGCTTTACTGACGTTTCTCTACTGCTTCTTTCTAGGGGTGCAAAAATGGATAAGTCTGTTGATATGCTCGGAATAGTGCTAGAATATTATCACGTTTAAAAAAATAATATTTGGTTCAAATGTATACTTGAGAAACGGAAAATTATGCTAAATCAGTGCTAACATTTGAAAACGGCACAAAAGCCATTTGTAAACAAATGGTTTGTGGGCCCTTTACTCACTACTTGAAGTACACCCACGCGACACAACAGCAACATCGGGTAGGGGAAATTTTCCCCTTCCTGACGATGCTGTTGGTTTGCGTGGGCGTTCTTCGGGTAGCGAGTAAAGGGCCCACAAACCATTTGTTTACAAATGGCTTTTGCGCCGTTTTCAAATGTTAGCACTGAAATGTTAACATAGATAACCGGTAATGCTTAAATGGTTGAATAGACAGTTCATATTCAACAAACTTATGAATTACAAACGTAAAGAAATCGAGTCCGGCGCCCCTCGTATTCAATCGATCGAAAGAAGCTGTTGGTGCGTTTAGCACCGCGCCTCAACTTTTCAGCTGCGCGTTTGGCCTGTTTGGCTTGCGCACATACACTCAAAAATATTACTAACAAAAAATTATTTAAATTTAACCAGTTTATGGTTTAACAATATTTACATATTGAATTGATAACAAATTGATTTCAAAATTATACTAAGTCGGAATAACGGAATAGAAATAGTTCAGTTTGTATCAAAGGCGGTGGCGAAGGCAGTCATTCCAGTCTTTATTTTAACATGCAGGTAAATAAAAATCTTATAAAAAAAATGTATTCTTCCGCACCTATGGTCAAACGCAACGGAAACTGGAAGACAACACGCCGCAGATGCAGACGATTGCATGCACCTGCTAAGGTTATTCAGTGTGCCATACATTGAATCTTTTATTAATAACTACAACATTGTGCTTTTATTTAAACTACCGCAATACATTTTTTAACTGAATTATTATCGTTTACTTTTTCCCATAATCAGCCACGACAGCAAAAGCAATCAAAAACGCAGCCTGTCGAATGAACGGACTTTATGCATTTTTTTAGGCTTAGAGTTAACTCTAAGACCAGAAGGTCCCGAAGAAACATGCTCAACTTTTTGGCTCAGCTCTGGTACTCTCTTCGGTCCCAAGCTAATCGGTTCACCCCTCGAAACACAGGAAAATCCACGAACCCCTCATTTTATGTGTCAAACTTTCATATCGAATCAAAACAAACATTGTGTAGTTCTACACGGTAAGAAAAAACTCCCAACGGCCAGTTCACTTTAACCTACTTTTGACTAGTTCGTCTCCTTTTCTCCTTTTAATGTTGTCAAAAACGGAGGAGCAAAACCACCCAACAGCGGTAGTAAAATGTGGGAACCCAACGTTGAGTATAATCATATTTACCTACTGTTGGGTACAACTAACTTACTTTTGGTTAAAAAGCTAGTGGGAAATTCCATACGAACTGCACACAAGCAGGGTTACTTCCACTCACTTCGCTATAACATTTTTTTCCGAAATTATGGAATCATGATATTTTGTTCTTGTCAGAGAAGGTTGAGAAGAATGTATTTGACACATAAAACCTGTCGATTCCGCTTTCAGTGCGTCACAATCAGCAAATTTATGACTCGTGAGCGTTCACTCAGAGTTAGCGCTCACAAATCGTAAAATCGCTGATTGTGACGCACTGAAAGCAAAAATGACAGGTTTTATGTGTCAAACACATAGTTTACAACATTTTCTTGGAACTTTCAAGTACTAATTATCATTATAATATCTAATGATTTCATAATTCCGAAAAACATTTTTTTTTATAGCAAGTGAGTGGAAGCAACCCTGCACACAAGTAAATGAAAATTACTTTGACCCGCTTTACCTACTTTTGGGTTCCTGCACTAAAACGCCGAGATGAGTGAAAAGAACTTAATTTTGGGCACTTTTTTCTAACCGTTTAGAATTTTGACTAGAATGGGGTACGTTAATCAATTTGCTAGCGACCAATAGGCTAGTCAAGTAGTGAGCAAATTTAAAATCGTTAGTTTCCACCGGTTGATTGAAGTGCATCCACTTTGATGAGATAGAAAAATTATCTTTTTGCTGAGTATAAACAAGCAAAACTGAAATAACCTAAGCCAAACATTAAAATTGCAATCTATATTTTCTATTTTTTTTAGCTTCATTCGTGTTACAAAAGGGTAAACTCGTTTCATGACCATGAAAGAATGAAGGAAATGTCGAAAATGCTGTAGACATCTTCTACCAAGTTTTATCAGGGATAATTTCGGAAGAAATACCTTTGAAGAAAAAAGATACTTTAGAAGCACTCAAAATCCATTATGGTATAACAGACAAATAAAAAACTTGAAAAATCGAAAACAGAAAGCACATAAACATTACAAAAAAACACAATAATAATGAAAATTTGACTATCTATTTTGGACATATGCGATCTACTGGATCTAGCCATCAGTTATGCATTTGAAGAATTTAATTCAAAAACTGAACTTGAAATAAAGTCCTGTCAAAAGAACTTCTTCAATCACATAAATTAAAATCTGACAATTTTCATCAATAATGCATCTTGACGAACGTGTCGGAGATAGCTCGGAAATTTTTTTAATCTTTTTGCAATTTTTTTCAAGAAATCTATACGACATTTTGCGAAGAAGACCGCGATTATTTTGCATTTTATCCAGAATTTTCAAGGAACATTGGCGTCAGTCAACTTCAAGTGTATGATATTTTGCAGGCTTTAAAGAATTTAGACGCCTCAAAAGGTCCTGGACCTGACGGAATTCCTCCAGTTTTTTTGACGTAGAACTACGTCTTTGTCGACTATACTGGGGTGCAAATCAAAAAAATATTTGTGGTGAAGGAGTGTTAGGTTTTGAACGCTTGTAACTTTGTCATTTATAGATGAAATTAAAATCCAAATACGCCAATCGATAGGATATTACATTACGAACCTGTTGAAATAAATATTTTTTCAATTTTTCTGTATTTAAATTATTGAAAATGTACAAATGATAATTTTATCACTGTTTTCATGAAATAAGCCTTTTTTCCAAACCCAGTCATCATAAACGAATACCACTTGGTTGCACATCATTCTGTTTGAACCTGAAAAGATATAAATCAGCGCTGCTCTCATGCCCCTGCTCATTATCGCTTCGGACGGCGTGGCACTAGGTCCTGCTGTAAGCAGGATCAAATCAGCGGCTAAATGTGGATCACGGCGTGACCACAATGAGGAAAAGTAATGATGTAAACCCCCTCCCCCTTTCACAACAACCTTTACCCCTCCCCCCTTCACAACAATCTCCCCCCCCCCCCTCTAAAACCTCTCCTAACCCCCCCCCCAACTCATCAACAACCTTTCCTACCCCCCCTACCCCTCAAATACCTCTCCTAAACCCCCCCCACCCCGCAACAATAACCAGAAAAAGACATGGACCTTGACGATCACTTTTTTCCAGGAAATAAATCAACAAAGCCCAATTCTTAGTAACAACAAGTTTTTCCCTTAATTTCTTCCCACACCGAAACTTTCAAATTTGAACACAAATTGCTTGAAAGACATCCCAACAAACAATTTAAGTTGATCAAAAGCTGAATAAGCCATTTTTTAGCTGAATAAGCTTATTTTTGCCTGAATAAGCTCTTATTCAACATGCAATGTTTGTTGGGATGTTCGACGACACTCAGTTGGTGAATTACACACAACTGACGGTGAAACCTATCTGGTGCCTCTATATAAGCAATTATATTACAATCCACTTTACTTACTTTAAATGATCTATATTTCTTGAATTTGTGTGGTTTACATGTATTACTTATCAAGTGACACAGATGCGTCTTTTCAACTTTAATTCCTCTGAAATTTCAATTATTATTAATTACAGTTCCTAGTCCTATCAGGCCTGTTTTAAGAACGACCACCTTGGTGGGATTGGTTTGTTTTAAATTTGAAAAAGGAGACTACTTATAACTACTATTTACAACTATAACTAACCTACAACTACTATATACACCTAATCTACTATATACTAATTGCTTATCAAAGCATGTTCTGATAAATTACATTTTTGTGCAAATTTAGTCTTAATTTCGTTAATTCGGGAATCTATTTTGGAAATGCCTGCCTCTTCATGTAAATTTGTTATTCTAGTGTCGAAAGGACGATCAAGAACCATCCTCAGCACTCTATTCTGAGCGATTTGGATTTTGTTCCTGTGAGTCTGTGCACATGATTCCCACACCGGAGCTGCATAGAGGATCGCAGGTGCTATGATTTGTTTGTAGACGGCCAGTTTGTTCACCCTTGAGAGGCGGGATCTGCGGCAAATCAGCGGATACAGACACCTAACCAAGGTAGAACACTTGACTACAGTTTTCTCTACATGCGAACGGAAGAGGAGCTTTTCATCGAACAACATCCCGAGATAGGTTACTTCGGCAGACCACTCAACCCTTGTGCCATCCATGATTACAGTACAAAATGGAGCCGGTTTTAGTTTGGGCGATTGCCAATGGAGGAACATGATCACTTGTGTTTTGGAGGCATTGATTTTGATTTTCCACGTGGTGGCATAATCAGCAAAGGCGTTAAGGCATCGTTGAAGTTTGTTCGTTATTTCGCGAGGCATCCTTCCTTTGACGGCTATTGCGGTATCATCTGCGAACAGGAAAAACACGCAACCGTCACCGAGGGGAGGAATGACGGAAGTATAAATGCTGTAAAGCAAGGGGCCCAGCAGACTGCCTTGCGGCACTCCTGCTGGGATGGAAAACGTGTCTGAAAGACAACCATTCAACGATACCTTAAACGACCTTTGCTGGGGGTAGTTACGGGTAATTTTAACCAGATGTAAAGAAAAGTTGAAGTTACAAAGCTTGTACACAAGTCCATCATGCCAAACATTGTCAAACGCCTTTTCAACGTCTAACAAGGCCATGG